CCTTTAAATTTTTAACCATAAAACGTTAACAATAATCTATCATAAAATTCTAATCCTTATCCATTAAACATTAATCAGTACATTTAAACCTTCAACCGCAAAACATAAAGCTATCAGCAAAATTGACAATGGTCACTACCTTCTGTAAGTCCTTAACTACAATGTCTAACTAGCTCCAAAAAACATTTTCTGAGTGCAACCTCTTTTATTGATCTGCGGAACAGACAGCAGGTTCTTTCTTGTTTTCGGATTGTAAAGCGCGTCCTTGATCTCGATATCGCGTATGAGGCCGTTGGGTAAAACAACTTCCTGGACTGTAGTGCCCACCCCCATGATAGCAATCTTATTTCCATCGGGTACTGAATGCTCACCACAATCCTGTTCATCCAGGGTCATAAATTTCGACTTGTCGTATCAAAGTAACACCACTATCAACGGCCCACAGACTCGATGTTTCTTTACCAGACGATAAATTGTATTCCAGGGATACTGCAAACGCTTCTTGATTGTAATCGTTGTCGTTTCTGTGCCGATATTGTACGTTGTTAGCTCCGCGACCACGATAATTCACGCCTTGTCGATCTCCTCGACTATGATTCTTTTGCTTGGTCCAGGGTTCCACCGTATGCCCCAATTTACCGCAATAAGTGCACTGGTGGGACTATTTTTCGGCACTAAACGACTCAGCCGCGTCTTCAGTCTTCACCGTTTTGGTCCTTTCACCTTGTCGCTATATGTGCTTGTTCGTTAACACCTTTACAACGCCCTGCATCCGTAGCTCTGCACTGCTCATATCCAACTTGAGAACGACGTTCTCATAGCTCTTGGGTAGACTTCGAATCAGACAAACTGCGACGACCTCATCCTCCATCTTGGCGCCGATGCTGCTGAGGTTGGCGCTAATGTTGAGTACCTCGTTGCAGTGATGCAAATGTTCTAGCCTTCTGTGATCCACCATAAAGCATCTTGATTCGAATCCAGGCAGCATAGGCTACGTTGCAGCCATCAACTACATGATGATAGTCCGCGTCCATTAACATCAGGCCGAATGCAATGTTGCTGGCTCTGGCGTACTCGTC